CGCCATTGACTTTAAAACTCCCGTCCATGGGAACGACTTTGAAAACATTCCCATTGCCTTTGTAAGCCTCTCCAAACGTCCCTTCTCCTATCTTCACTATTGTTTTCAGATCACTTAGCACAGATAAAACGAGTTAGTCCGGAAAAAAAATAACCGAAAATACCCACCAAAACTCTGAAAATCCTTGTGAAAGGCTGACAATACTTTCCTGGTCCGACTCGTGTAGCAGGATGTCTATCATCGACATTGTGGGAAGCTCTGCAACTGGTTTCGAAATGCTTAAGCATTCCAGGTCCGATATAAGAGCGTCCATGGGCCTTGGTCTCAACACACCACGGACGGGAGGTGTTCTTAAGGCAGCGCTCAAAAGATCCTCTGGACTCGCAAAAATCTCCTCCGGAACAGCTTCCAAATGTCCATCCCTCGCAGGAAGAAAGCACGTACTGCCTTCGAAAATTGATCTCCGAGTAAAAGTTTTGGGAGAAGGACTCTCCTCCTGGAGCTCGAACGCATCCACTTCGGCAAAATGTGCTTGCTTCTCTCGAACAAAAGTGGCTGGAGGCTTCGAAGGAACCACCCTTCTCTGGGATCCATGAAAAAACTCAGGAACTCTCAAAAACCTGGAAAAACCCAAAGACTTACTTTCATCTGGGCCGAAAAACGTTGCAGCGGACAAGGTATCTTATGGTGCGCAAAATCCTTTTGAAAGACCACGCTTGTTCGTCTTGAAGAATCCAATCCACGAGTAAAGATAAAAGAAGAACACCGGAAAATCTCACCTGGAAGAAAGGCAGCGATCGATCCAGCTCTTGGTATGCGTTGTCTTCCTCTTCCCCTCATCGGCGGCGCCTCCATCCTTGGCCTTGCCGCGCCGCTTAAACACAGCAGCTGGCTTCTTCCTCTCCAATCTCGCGAAATCCCCATCTGGCCGATGGATCAAGATCCCAACAACACTAGCAGCGGTGAAAAGAACACACCTGGGAACAGCGCCTCCTCCGCCATGTCCAAGCTCAGCTCCTCCATCGCTAGGGCTCAAGCATTTTGAATTTTGGGCGGGAAAGGGTTTAGGGCATACACGTGGACAGAAAATGGCATAAAGAGTATCGGGAATCTTTGCTGGATTAGTGTTCTTTGCGTGGGCTGTTTTCTAGGTGACAATGACAATAAAAAGGTCTTGGACGATGTTTCTCTGCTATTCTCCTCTAGAATTTGGGATCGTTCATGGGTCTTCCAAATTTCAATTTGCTAGTGCTGATTATCAATGAGAATGTGTTGATCATATTTGCTAGTAAGTCTTCACCTGTGTTTTCCTTTTGATTAAATCTATGCGTTGCAGCTTTTAGTGCTGTGTGCTTGAAAGACTACATCAAAGCAGGAGTTTTAGTTTGTTTGTTCTTGCTTGGAAACTGGATCATAGCTTGGTCTGAGGCGAATAACAAAGATCACGTAAGAATTCCCAATCTCTTCATTTGATTTTACATACTCTTGTCCAACAGATCAACATCTCCAATGATCTAGAATCCGCATCATTTGTGAAAACCACAAGCTCGTCTCGTAAGATAGAATCTCATAACAACAAATCTGGGGAGACAGTCACAACAATGGTCACCGAAGAAGCAAAGCTCTTCAAGCGATCACCGATTATAGACTTCTTTGCAAAATATCATACCCCAGGTTAGAAAACATTCTAAGAACATCACGAAATCATTGATATTAAGAAAATCACTATTGTGCGTGCCTGTGCAGCCATGATCTTAGCTACAGCACTGGTCCCTCTCGTGCTGGACACGAGCAATAAAAAACAATGGCTTTACTCGTCGCTCGTCGTAAGCCCATGCGCTCTTGTGATCTCTAGCACAGTCACAACCACTGTTGCAAAAGCCCGAGCTGCGCAATTGGGTCTTGTGATCCAGGGCGGTGCTGGCTGCCTCACGGCTCTCGCAAGGCTCAAGATCCAGAAGGAGAAACTCCGGGAGGTATCGAACAAGAAGGGCGAGATCACTGTGACATGCGAGGATGGCGATGGCAGCAGCGAGCATGCGCGGCCAAGTCTCGAGCCCGACGAAGTTGCCATGCTCACATCGGCAGCTTGGATTGGGAGAGAGTATGTTGCGGCAGTCTCTTCTTGCAATCTCTTCTTGCTCGTCACAAAGATGCTCGTCACGGGGTTTGTGGTTGCTGGCTACATTCCAGCGCTTGGGGCAGTGGCCCTCATTGCAGATCTTGGAGCTTGCACGGCGGTGGCTTTGAGAGGATTTGTCACACTCTTGTTGGTCGAGGAGAAGGGAGCTTCTCGACGAGATCTGGAAGAGCGGAAACAAGGTGAATGGGACTTGAGGACTCCGTTGCTTTAGAATTCTCCAAATTGAAAGCAGAGTTAAGAATAGTGTATATGTATACATAAATTCATAAATAAAAATGACAATACTTTACCAAATGAGCATGGTAGTTTGTAACTTTTGGAATACTCTTAAATAAATTGCTATACTTTGCATGTAGCAGTAGTGTTATTCTTATTTATTAATTTAATTGATTAAATAAAGTTTATAATTATAAGCATGTTTGTAATTTATAAACATAAGATTAATCTTATTGCCATTACATGATAAAATAAATAGAATATACTGGAAAGGTTTAAGAAATTTTATAAATTATAAACAAGTCATCACAGGTTTGCTTAAGCAAACCAAAAATTAAGCTAATTACTTGTAGAGTTTATGGCATATCGTGTTCTGTTTCCTAAGTGACGATGTTTCTCTAGAACTTTGGCTGTGTATTCTCCTCTAGAATTTGGGAAATCGTTCATTCATGGCTCTTGCACAAGTTGATTTGCTGTTGCTGATTATCAATGAGAATGTGTTGATCATATTTGCTTGTAAGTCTTCACCTGTGGTTTCCTTTTGATTAAATCTATGCATTGCAGCTTTTAGTGCTGTGTGCTTGAAAGACTACACCAAAGCAGGAGTTTTAGTTTCTTTGTTCTTGCTTGGAAACTGGATCATAGCTTGGTTTGAGGCGAAAAAAAAAGATCACGTAAGAATTCCCAACATCTGCATTTGATTTTGCATACTCTTGTCCAACAGATCAACATCTTCAATGATCTAGAATCCGCATCATTTGTGAAAATCACAAGCTCGTCTCATACCAAGATAGAATCTCATAATAACAAATCTTGGGAGACAGTCACAACAATGGTCACCGAGGAAGCAAAGCTCTTGAAGCGATCGCCGACTATAGACTTCTTTGCAAAATATCATACCCCAGGTAAATTGCTCTACTAAATCATTGATATTAAAAAAAAAAATTCACTATTGTTTGTTCGTGCCTGTGCAGCCATGATCTTAGCTACAGCACTGGTCCCTCTGGTGCAGCAATCGAAAACACTGGCTTTACTCGTCGCTCGTCGCAAGCCCATGCGCTGTTGTGATCTCTAGCACAGTCACAACCACCCGAGCTGCGCAATTGGGTCTTGTGATCCAGGGCGGTGCTGGCTACCTCACGGCTCTCGCAAGGCTCAAGATCCAGAAGGAGAAACTCCGGGAGGTATCGAGCAACAAGGGCGAGATCACTGTGACATGCGAGGATGGCGATGGCAGCAGCGACCATGGGCGGCCAAGTCTCGAGCCCGACGAAGTTGCCCTCTTCTTGCTCGTCACAAAGATGCTCGTCACGGGGTTTGTGGTCGCTGGCTACATTCCAGCGCTTGGGGCAGTGGCCCTCATTGCAGATCTTGGAGCTTGCACGGCGGTGGCTTTGAGAGGATTTGTCACACTCTTCTTGGTTGAGGAGAAGGGAACTTCTCGACGAGATCTGGAAAAGCAGGAACAAGGTGAATGGGATTTGAGGACTCCGTTGCTTTAGAATTCTCCAAGTGTTTGCCTTCAAATTGAAAGCAACCAAAAGTGTGGTGATGCTACAGTTAAGAATAGAGCGTATATGCTGAATACATGTGTTTACAAAATGACAATACTTAGTTTGTATGTATGTATGTATGTATGTATGTATGTATGTATGATATATATATATATATATATATATATATATATATATATATATACAGATCTTATAAACTGAAAATATTTATATTTAGTTTCAGATTTTTCTAGTCATTAATATAAGACAGCCAAAAGATCATGAATTGCAATCTCAGAAGTTCTTACCACAATTAATATACATATTCTCATATCATACAATTATATTTATACATTTAATTTTTATTTCACTTAGCAATAATGTATGGTTTACTTTGAATTTTACCAATTTATAATATAAAATTTAAATAACAAAAGGCAATATATTCACATAGGTTTCAACTTGACTTGGAGACTGAGGTCTCTTAACTATAAAATAGAAGCTTTTATATTTTACAGAATATATGAAGTTATTCTTAAATAACTAGATAATAAATAAATAATAATAAAAAAAAAATTTTAAGCGTCAAATTCTGTTCCTTCCACTAGTTTTAAATATTGTTAAATATACTTTTCTTTTTAGATATATAAATTGTTATAATAGAGAAGTGTCCAAAACAATATAAATTTCGTTAAATGTAATTGACATGCACAATATTAAGTAGAGGAATTTATATACTTGTGAAGTCTTGAGAGCCCTAAAACACCTATTACAATATTCACAATTGTCCATGAGCATGACATCAAATAGTATATTAACAAGTGATTCAACATCTAAAACTATTCTAGAAAATTTTTTCTTCATTTTGTACAATATTTCTTTCTGCCAAAGGTTTGTAGAACTATTATAAAAAACATGTGATTTTTTTGTACTTTCATATTCAAATTCAATGAATGCAAAATGTTGTTATGATGGAATGACATTGCTAATGGAATATAGACTTTCAATTACTCTAAGGTCACCAAACTACATGTAGCTGAAAACTACCAACTTACCCCATTCCCCCTTATTCTTTGAGAAATGACCATGGGTCTCCCAAAAATCAATATGCAATTGTTGATTCTGGATGCCAATATCTTGATCCTTTTTGCTAGTAAGCAATAGCTCTCATAGGCTAAATCTCTAAACTGAAATTTTGTGCAGCTTTTAACTCTGTGTTCCTTGAAGACTACACCAAAGCAGGAGTTTTAGTTTCTGTGTTCCTGCTTGCAAATTGGTTCATTGCCTGGTTTGAGGAGAATAATGAAAGATATGTAAGTTGATCAAGTCTTTTCATCTATGTTCTACTAATCTGGTTCAATAGATTAACCTATTAGACGATCTAGAGTCTGCATCAGTTCAAACCGTTGTGAAAGTTGCAAGTTCTTCTCATACTAACATGAACTATTGCAACAACAAAATTAATGTGTTTGTGGAGACATTCACTACAATAATCATGGAGGAAGAAAAACCCTTCAAGCACTCAATGCTTATGAACATCTTTGCAAAATACTACAGTTCTGGTAAATTAGTTGAAATTTAAACATCAAAATTATTGCTAAATTACATGAATCTGATGCAGCCACAATCTTAGCTACAGCACTGATCCCCCTCCTGCTGAGCACAAATAGAAAACACTGGATTTACTCATCACTTGTCATAAGCCCATGCGCCCAAGTAATTTCCAGCACAATGGCAGCAACTTGTGCCAAGGATCTAGCTGCACGATTGGGTCTTGTGATCCAAGGTGGTACTGGCTGCCTCAAAGCTCTCGCAAAACTCGATATCCAACTTTGTGAGCTATCGAGCAATAAGAGTGAGATCATCGTGACCAGTGAGGATCACAATATTGGAAGCAATGCCAACTCTGTATGTCACTCGCTTGTTCCTGATGACGTTGTTAAGCTCAGCACAGCAGCTTGGATTGGAAGAGAGTACACTACTGCAGTGGCACAAAACAATCTTTTCTTGCTCATCATGAAGATGCTCATAACAGTGTTTGTAGTGGCTGGCTACATTCCAGCATTTGGAGCAATGGTCCTTATTGTAGACCTTGGGGCTTGCATGGTGGTGATTTTGAAAGGAATCAGCGCCCTCTTGTCAATCCAAGAGAGCTTTCCAGTGGGGAGGAC